AAAGTACCTCTTTGTCCGTGAAGCCACTGCAATTTATAAAAATAAGGACAGAAAACATTTCAAGATAAGCTCAGCTTTACAGTTCACTTGGTGAAAACCTAATGCAGCTGCCATTATTCGTAGGCCGTGGTCTGTGAAAGACTCTACGAGAGTTGAAAGCAAGTCAGCACTACCCTAGCCCCTAAGGGATTACTCTTTTATTAAGATATAGTCTTGGGATTAGTGGAAATGGCTGTCTCATGAATGCAGCTACTATATTTGAGCACATGCCTGAATAAGCTGCTTGTTGATTGAAACCTATCTATTTATAAGCACTTGTGCACGTTGTGAAAAATCCATCTGTGTCACCACAGCGTGGCGCCCACCACTGAATAGAGGCTCTTTGCCATTTCACTCTGGCCCGTTGAGTGAACAGCAGAAAGGAAGTGTGCTGCGTCCACTTAACAGGTTTTATTCCTCACTCTTGGCCAGTAAAGTCGAGTCCCCTTATCTAAACAGGGGTTTAGATGGATGTGGATGTTATAAAAACAGAAATGGAAAAAAGAACACTTTTATTCAGACTCGCCCAGATGGTAAATGTAATAGATTTACCAGGATTTGGGAAAATGGTTACAAATAGCCCAAACTAGCCATACCTCTGCTGACGTCACAGTTTTTGAGTGGGGTCTGGAAAGTAGGTGGGTTTACTACACGTACTGGATAGCATTTCTTCTCTCCATTTCTGCTTATGAAGGGCACACTGACAGCATGTCCAACAGAAACAAGAACAGCACAAAGAAGAGCCTGGATGTGCAATCAAACAAGTCAGTGCTGCCAATGCTGGGCCTCATTGCCACTGAGCCTCCGTGTGAGGCAAGGCCCAGCTCCCCACGCCTCAATGAGAACCCAGATTCTTTCTGGGATTCTGTAATTCTGAACCCCACCACCCTGGCACACCCCAGCCCGCCAACACCCTCCTCCCCCTCAAAACACACCCATGGTTCTGCTTCCTAGGCTCAGGAACACTCTCTTGAGTTTGGGTGTAGAGCAGCGGTTCTCAACCTGTGGGTCGCGACCCCTTTGGTGGTCGAACGACCCTTTCACAGGGGTCGCCTAAGACCATCCTGCATATCAGATATTTACATTACGATTCATAACAGTAGCAACATTACCATTATGAAGTAGCAACGAAAATAATTTTATGGTTGGGTCACAACATGAGGAACTGTATTTAAAGGGAGGTTGAGAACCACTGTTTTACTCCTTTGTCTTCCTCCCTGCTCCTGATCACCTGAGCCAGATTAATCATGGAGCAATCCAAATGGATTGTAGAGCAGGCTGAAGTGATTGATTTGGTCCATGTGCCCATCACGTAGTGAGCATACAGGCAAACAAGTAATGAAAAACTCCTTCTTCGAGTTCTCAGTACTCTGCCTATTAGTGTTTACTATCATTCAACCCTGAGAATACAGAAGTAAAATATTAATGCATGCACTTAACACTAATGTCCACCATTACGAAGTAGCAACGAAAATAATTTTATGGTTGGGTCACAACATGAGGAACTGTATTTAAAGGGCCAGAAGGTTGAAAACCACTGGTGTAGAGGAAGGGGTTTCTTATTCCATTAGGATTTTAACTCCTTTGTAGCTAGGGACTCCATTTACTATGCTACTTCTTCAAAAAAGGCTAACCAAGAATTTATTGATTTTAAAAAGACTTAAATAATCTTAAGTGAGACCTCCCAGAATTTCTCTCCTTGAAGAACCTTATAAACAATGACAGGAAAATTTCCCAGGTATCCCCCTGTGAGAAGACTGACAGCTGACTGTCTGAAGCTTTTCTAGCCCCAACAGAGCAAGTCGAAAGAATGCAGGCGTTCGTAGTCTTTGAATTCTATTTCTCTTTCTAAAGTTTGTGATCTTTAGTTTCCTGGTGATATCACAGACCTACTAGTACACTGTGAGAACTCAGTGATGTGTACCTATTAGCATTATTATTATTATTTTAAATCTTTATTGTTGAAAGTATTACATGTCCCCTTTTCCCCCCATCCACCCACTCTAGCCCACCCCAGGCCCTCACTACCCCACTGTGTCCATGGGTTATGCATATATGCATACAGGTCTTTGGTTGATTACCTCCCACCCACCTACCCTCCCCTGCATTCCCTCCAAGATTCTGCATTCTGTTCCAACTTTCCATGTCTCTGCATCTATATTGTTCATCAGTTTATTTTGTTCATTAGTTTCCAGATATGAGTGAGATCATGGGATACTTGTTTTTCTCTGACTTATTTCACGTAGCATGATACACTCCAGGTCCCTCCATGTTGTCTCAAAGGGTAAGAGATTCTTCGTTTTTACTGCTACAGAGTATTCCATGGTGTAAATGTACCACAACTTTTTTATCCACTCATCTACTGATGGGCACTTGGGTTGTTTCCAGATCTTAGCTATTGTAAAAGATTCTTCTTTTTTACTGCTGCATAGTATTCTATGGTATAAATGTACCACAGCTTTTTTATCCGCTCATCTACTGATAAGCTGTTTCCAGATCTTAGCTATTGTAAATTGTCCTGCTATGAACACAGGGGTGCATACATTCTTTCTGATTGGTGTTTCAGGTTTCTTAGGATATATTCCTAAAGAGGGATCACTGGGTCAAATGGAAGTTCCATATTTAATTTCTTGAGGAAACTACATACTGTTTTCCATAATGGCTGCACTAGTCTGCATTCCCACCAGCAGTGTACTAGGATTCCCTTTTCTCCATATCCTTCCAGACTTGTCATTTGTTGAATTGTTGATGGTAGCCATTCTGACAAGTGTGAAGAAATACCTCATTGTTGTTTTAATTTGCATCTCTCTGATGGTCAGTGACTTTGATTTTTTCATATGCCTCTTGGCCATTTGCTATTAGCATTATTATTCATGCTAGGAATACCATAGAGACTAGAGAATCAGCCCTAACTGGTTTGGTTCAGTGGATAGAGCATCAGCCAGTGGGGGGTGTTCAGGAGGCAGCCAATCAATGATTCTCTCTCATCATTGATGTTTCTATCTCTCTTTCCCTCTCCCTTTCTCTCTGAAAAAAAAAAAAAAAGACTAGAGAATCACATCACATCTATGTCTTAGTTAACAAAGCAAAAAGGTAATTTTGAAAACAAAAGTATTACTACTAGAAAACGAAAGTTGAAACGTATAAAAAATAAGGCATTTGGAAATGGCATATATTTAAATCATAATATAGCAACATGAAGCAGCACAGACCCTACAGTAAGTGAAACATCGCTGTGTACACAGACATGGCGTTACTGACTGGACACTGGGTGAAGTGCTGGAAGCCATGCTCAGAACCTGATGGAAGGTACTATTATCACCACACTCGTTCTACAGACGAACAAGTCAAGCACCTGAGTGCTAAGTTTTATGAGGTGGTAGAGACAAGGTTTTGATAAAAACCAAAGCTTCTCCTACTTTACCACAGTACCTCCCCGCACATTTTCCTCCATTTTGTTAATCATTCACATAAGATTATTAAAGATCACTAATAGGTTTATGTGTTAAAAAGAAGACATCTAATCGGTCTCTCCTTTGTGAGATCATTTTGAGATAAAAGAGGGTACATGGCCGTCGGCATCCTGGAGACTTTGGTCCAGCCTAGAATCTGGAAGAGGACAACCTTTTTGTGACTTGGTTTGTGACAACTCATACTCACAGATGACTTTCTACCTTGAACCCAAAGGTACATAAACTGAGAGCTAAAAATTAAAACCTGGGAGCTCCTCTTCAATCACCTGTTTCCTGAACTTTTTTCACTTTTTAGTATTTATCTGTTTTCTATTGGGGTTCCCAACTAGGTACTGATAAAGAATTCACCTTAAAACTTCGCTCCATCCATCCATCCATCCACTTACCCACCTATTCCCCAATGGCTTCCATAAAAGACTGAGTCAACATGTAATGATAACTCATGCTACTACCCATTTTCTTGGCCTTTCTCATAATTATTATGTCTCCTGTAAGAGATACTGCTTTGGGACAAACGTCGACTTTTTTTTAGGCTAGTATGAGAATAGAAAAGAGAAGCAGGTGGTGAAGGAATGGAAGCACTGTAAACACTCACAACCAAAACTGGTTGATCAAAGTTTTTAAAGACTGTTTTTTTAATGTTCAGGATACTTATATTTATGGATTATGGATTTTTTTAAATGCCCAAAGGCAGCTAAAACTCACAAAGATGCAAAGAATAGAAATTATTCACATTTTATAAAAAAGAACATAGAAAAAAGCAAGGGTCAAATGACTTATGCATGGTACCCAGAATTCAACAACCCGAGCCAGGACTTAGAATTCCTCACTATGACTTTTCTAGTAAGATTATTAAGCTCAGCTGCTGCCTTCAATACTTGTTTCCATAGACATTACTAAGAAAGCATTTTACTTTGGCATTTTTGTAATATGGCACCATTTATAGCTGTCTTCACTCATAATACCCTTACTAAACAACCGTCTTCAGGGCTGGCGGTACACCCAAGGAGGGTCAGCCTGGTTTACTAGTGGCTAATGATTGAGACAAAAGTTGACTTATGTCATTTTTTTCTTGCATTTTCTGGATTTAGAAGATAAACCATGCCCACATTTCTAATTCAGCCAAACATAAATTTTTCTGACACACATACAAAATCTCAAGAAGTGTAAAGGTTTCCATCACCAAATCTACTCTTCTATCACTTTTGGATAATAAAGCAGACAATCTAATGATTCCACAAACTTGTAGTGTGTGATTATTTTTTTTTTTCCTGTTTAGACCAAGTTTTTCCAAAGAATGATCTAATTCATTTTAGGCTGAGAGTAAGCCCTATGTTAAAAAAGAAAATTATAATTTTTTTGCTTTTTGCTGAAATACCTCAAGAATAATAAAAAATACTGAATTCAACTAAGCTAAGGAAAATAGGAGACTTTTCACTTAATGTACTTCAGGAAATTCAAATATTGGAATAATCACAAAAACAAGAATGTTAGCCACAAAAGAGAACTTTATGTAAAAATCAGTCTCAGATCCACAGGTGTAAGAGAACATCCCAAAGGCGAAAGCACCTTTTCCAGAACCGCTCCCAGGATAGTCAGTACCGATTTCGAAACTGGTTGCTTAGGTCTTGGAGGTCTAGTACTAGGGTGTCCATAGCTGCTATTTCGTCAGCTAAATCCCCGGAAATTTCTCCACTGGCCACATCTGTAAAAAGTTGCTGCAGCATAAAGAACAAAGCAGAACTATCAAAACAACGAAAATCTCTTTAAAATAATATAGACAGAGTACAGAACTAAAACTCCTTTGCATAATAATACCGCAACATTATAGCAGCAAGGGCAGTGTTTGTGCTGCTCACCACCCTGGAAAAGTATGAGTTGCAACAGTTAAGGGATGAATGGAAGAAATACAACAGGCCTGAACTTGTAAATTCAAATGAGTGCTGCCCTTCATAATGGCTGCGTGAATATGATTAGTAAGTTCAGTGTCACAGGATGGTTTTTGGATGAAGGGATATTATTCATCCAAACAAAACAACCCTATTCACTGTGTACACAAACAAAAAATATATTTTAATTCACATTTATATAAATCAGATCCTTTATGCTAATTACTTGAAAATAATTACAGTTTAGGACTGAGAGTCACAAAGATGATCAAGATTTGGTAAAAACAAAAGACCCAGCAAAAATAAAATAAAGATGAATGCACCCCCTCCTGTAAAAGGAACTGCCTTGGGCAGCACACTGCAGCCTATGTGCGTCAGCACGTCCACTGGTTCCGCAGCTGCCCTTCTAGTGCCTGCTGGGCCAGGAGCTCGTGATTGGCAGGCTCCTCACCTCCCAGCACTGCCCACAGGTTGCCAAACCTGAGTCACTTGTCTACCTTAACAATGTTTGTCAAATCCACATACAACCTACTTACTATTTTTTCTCTAAATCAATTTTCACATAGTAAGTCTTTTTTCAAAGGAAACATTTTACTAGTAGCATTACTGTAAATGAGAAATAGGCTAAATAATCTTCGTGAAACTGTAAGTCTAATGTGTAAGCCAGTTATACTTTTTCTAATATGCATTGAAATAAATATATATTAAAATCCTAAGGTTACTCAAGTGCTACCAGTGGCATATATGCCGCACTTTGGGAAAAGTGATAATAAAAGAAGAGCATTGTTTTAATGTAATGTAGAGAAAGCATTAAGGGAATTTAATTTACAGAAAGCATTAAGGGCTGGACTGTAAGTATTAATTTCTAAGAGCCCTAACTAAGCCACATTTAGGGTGGTCTAGCCACTGGGCCAATAAAATCCTCATCAGTACAAGTAACTAACTACCTGGGAACTAATATAAAAAATGTAATGTGGGCCTAAAATTAGCCCTGATGTAAAGGAAGATTTAAGAGCACGGGCTGATACTACAGCCTTCTCTGTAGGACAGCCGAGTTAACCCACATCCACCTCACCTTTGCTTTAGAAGACAAGCCCCGTAAGTTGAGCCGAGCTGAAGAAAGCACCTGTACAGCCTCTTGGGGACTGGATTTGCTTTCACTGCATTTCACAGCCACTGGAAGAAAAACACCGGGAAACATCCATAAAAATTGCTGCTGATCATTCATAGGTAAAAAAACACACAAAACCCTCACAATTACTTAAGAGTTTAAAGTAACAGATTTGAGAAATATTTCTCATGGAAAGTTTTTAATTTGGCAAAAGGATAATAATTATGTGCATAATCCTCCCTTTTGTCTTTCTTTGAGAAGGATAACTTATTGGTAAAAAGAGAATTTTGAGAAAAATAGGTAAATTTTGGTGAATTGCAGATCATTGGGAAGAGACCCTCTGAAACACACACACACACACACACACACACACACACACACACACACACACATCAGAGACATGATACTCTCAGTGTGGCTTCCCCAAGGGACTCACTGCTGATAATACTAGCCCAAGGAAGTGACATGAGAGAGATTCACAGCTCGGTTCCTACTGCGATTTCACACTCAGGGTTTACACCACCGTCTGGGAGAACTGATATCAACAACCGATGTGCCTGCACTTGGGATGGAACCGCAGCTCCCCATTTGCTGTAACTATCAGTTGCAGAAGAATTTAGAGGACTTTAGGATGAGTTCACAGTCCTTTTGATTCAGTTCTTAACATTGTGGTTTGAACTGTAATCCCAGGGCATCAATGACCCATAATCAAATATATATCTATAAAAGGCTAAGTGACCAACCATATGTCCGTCCGCCCAACCGGCTGGTACATAAGACACACACTGGCAATTTAAAAATAAACGCTGACTCGCGCATATAAAGCTCTCATTGGCCCCAATCGCATGCGCGTGTTAAGATCTGTCATTGTCAATCGTGAATTTGGTTGTTTTGGTTGACATTCAGAAGCTGAAAGAAAGCAGCAGCAGCAACAGAATACTGGTATGTCTGAAGATCAACTATCAGCATCTGACACTGGCCTCCCATTTAAATTGATTCAAAGACAGTTTCCCATGATGCCAGCATTTGCAATGACTATTAATAAATCACAAGGACAAACTCTAGACAGAGTAGGAATACTCCTACCCGAGCCCGTTTTCGGACATGGTCAGTTATATGTTGCTTTCTCTCGAGTTCGAAGAGTGTGTGATGTTAAAGTTGTAAATACTTCATCATAAGGGAAATTAGTCAAGCACTCTGAAAGTGTTTTTACTCTTAATGTGGTATACAGGGAGATATTAGAATAAGTTTAATCTATCAGTCATTGTTTTTATCAATGTTTTTATATCATGTTTTTGTTGTTTTTATATCATGTCTCTGTTGCAGTTATATCATGTTGTTATTGTTTATTTATTAATCAATTTATATATTATTTTCATATACATTTTACTAATTTTCTTTCATCTCTGATACTTCTATTATAGAGAAAGGGTGAATAGTGATACTAAAATATTTCTTCTAATTAATTTCTTTTCAATGTGCACGAATCTGTGCACTGGGCTACTAGTATAAATATAAAAATGCATCACCAAATTATTAATGCAAATAATTAAAAACAGCCTTTATCTGGAATATATTTACCACATAGGTATACAACTTTACATATAAGGTTACTTCTCCCCTCAAATATCACCCATTACATTTCTCAAGGCTATTTGGTTATACTTTTTATTTCTTTTATATATGCAACAGCTCTTTGTATAGTGCTCTGAGTTCCAGAAATCTATATATTTTATGAATAAATATTTTCATCTATAAAGGAAGACTATGTATGAGTCATGAAAGGTTAACAGATATCCTTAATACTATATATCAATGCAATAGACTGTGACCTGAAGGTTAACTACCATTGTAAGGGTTTTTCATATCTCTAAAGTTTCTAATACCAGTCACTATTCAAATGGAATTTAAGCCTCTATCCTGTCTTCTTGTTGCTCGCAAGTGCCTACTACATAGCAGCTGGTCTATAAATGTTTGCTGAATACAACAATTTCAATACAATTTGAAACTATTTGTAGTGACACTTTACTCTTGACTACTACTTTTTCTTATCAGTAATAATACATTCTAACATGCCATGGATGGCAAATGTTACATCAATACCATGTGCAAGTTCTAAGGCTCTCCGAACCAGTTCCTTAAATGATGCAATATCTTTCTCCCAGCCACTGGACTGTGTGTCACACTTGTAGGCCTTAGAGAGATAGTTGAACGCCTGAGGAAAAAAGGAACAACAATTCAGAATAACAAACAGAGTTCACATTTCAAACTGTTCCCTGGAAGTTGCACGGAACTAACTGCAACTTGAAAACCAGCACCTGTGGGACACAGCACAGTCTCCCTCACTCTCATCAAAGAAGGGGCACGGATGCTCATCCAACAGCAATCAGCATGAAAAAACGTCACATGACACTGGACCAAGACACTTCCCTTCAAACAGAAATTTACAAATGCCCAATTTGGAGGTCTACAAAGAGTATACATACTTCCTTAGCATTCGTAGCCATTAGCTTAAGAGACCAGCTAAGAGAAGGAGGTGTGAACTTGGTGAAACTACAGAATTATTGAGAGGTGTGAAAACTCACAAGAAGCAGGGGGTGGGGGGACAATAAGGACACATAAGTAATACCTTAATCACTAAAGAAAATTTAAAAAAAAAACACTAAAAGAGGGGAGACAGAGAGGATGTAGGAATGCACATAATTTGAACCATTAACTTGAAAGTTATAACTGAAATTTAAAATCAGCATAAGCTTAGTATTAGTATTTAATAATTAGTATTTGGTAATTAATATTAATATTGGTACATCCATATATGTATGTGTGCAAATGTGCATGATATGTATCTTTATACTGAAAGAAAAACTCTAGAAAAATTACATATTTCTTATTCATTGACATATTTCATTAATTTAACTTAAACAATTTGTTGTCTTTTTAAATTTTTGAGATAAATATTCAATTTGGGTTCTCTCTAATATAGATAGTCCTCAGTTGACACTTCTACCAAAATCCTGGTACTCTGAGTTCACAGGTCAGTCATGCAGCAAACAATAAAAATAGTGACATGTAAAAAACAAAACAAAAAAACTCACAAGAGTTTAAGACACTTCTTTCACAACCTGATTCTTGAGGGAGAAGTCACAGATGAGAGAATTCAGAGTAACCTTAATTCCATATAGACAAGGGAGCAGGGAATTCAAGGAGACTGGGAAGGACAGACGGCAGAAGTGGGTGCGAAAGTGTGAGTATGTGTTCTCCAGGTGACAGGCACTGGGAGAAGCCAGCTGGGTAGGCCGAGGGAAGAGAGAGTGGCTATGGATTCCACAGATGAGCTGTACTGTGGCTAATTCCAAACTCACGTGGGACCACATGTGATTTGTTGTGGATGTTTGAGAAGAACACAATTGTTCCAAACTTGGAAACTCCGGAGGCCCCTGCAAGGTCTAAGATAGGAGGCCAAAGGCACAACTGGAGTGTAAGTGGTGCCCGTGAGACAGCAGGGCAACCTCCACCAAGCTCTTCTCCAATACATATTCTTATCTATTCCTCCTCTTTTTTCCCTTTCACAGTCCCCATCGCAGATTTAAACACCCTTTTGTCCTTGTACCCAATCTACCTTAGTCCTTAGCAATGAGCCTGCAGCAAGGGTACAGAAGACATGATGAGCCAGCTGTTTGCCACAGCTCTGGTAGGTAGGGAAGCTGCTTAGAGAGACCCTTTGGCAGGAAACAGAGAACATTTATATAAGAAAAATTCATGGACAGAGAAAAGATGAATGCTTACAAGTCTTAACCTGCCCACAATTCAAAGTGCTTATGTTAAAGACTGAATCAAAACTGGAGCGTATTAATCTTATCTTACAAATCATTAAACGTTTTCTCCAACCATGAAAAAAGCAGATCCACTAGACATATCTCCAAACAAGAGCCAGGCGTGAAGAAGGACTCACCTTTTCGTTGTCTTCAGGCTTCTCACTCTGCCCATCCCCATATACTTGGGCGTACAGCCTCCAGATTTCCCCGTCATTTGTCACTCTTGAAGTTACTCTGCCAAATAACTCCTGCAGCTTTCCTTTGAGGCCGGTTGCGACATCTCCGCTGCGATCAGTCATCCCATTAATCACGGCCCTCACTAGGATTTTAAGGACCTTAAAAATGTGCACAGAAGAAACTGGTAAGCTAGAAACAACCAAACAATAAAAAACGAAGGCAACCATCACCTTCATCAACAACAATGACAAACCTCTTGAGACCTGTTAGAAGATCATCCTTACACGTTCCTCTTTAAAATATGTTTTTATTGATTTCAGAGAGGAAGGGAAAGGGAGAGAGAGAAACATTGATGAGAGAGAAACACCGATCAGCTGCCTTGTGCACGCCCCCTCCTGGGGATCAAGCCCACAATCCGGGCATGTGCCCTGACCGGAAATCGAACCTGCGACCTCCTGGTGCATGGGACAACGCTCAATCAACCGAGCCACACTGGCGGGGCTCATCCTTACACTTTTAAAAATAAAGTAAAAGTCAAGCCATCCTGAGTCACTCTGCAGAACGACATGCTGACTACCTCTCTGGTGTCCCTTTTCAGGCCTCCCAGAGGGCTCTTCTTTCCCAGGGCACTGTGCTCAGTGCTCTCCGAATGACCTGACCCACACCTGTAGCTTCACAGATTTTACCCAGTCTCCTCTGACAGTGTCGGCACAGCTCCAGCCCAACTCCTCTCCAGAGCTCCATGATGGTGGGCCTCATACCTTCCAGCATGTCCTGTCAACGTCTCACACTCCCTCTACCCGAGAGTGAAACACAGAACCCACATCTCTTCCTCAGCCAGGTCCTGGCTCTTCCTAAGTGCTGAGCGATTAACTGCTAATGCATCTGCATTAGGCATGCGGGGTACCCAGAAAGTATCTCTTGTCCTTCTAACTACCCAGGTCCGCTCACCACTTGTCCACTTCTTGGCTATCTTGCTTTCATTTGTTTACACATTCTATCCCAGATGCTTTGGGTGCGGACAGATGGGCTGAGCCCCAGAGCAGGTTACATATCTGTCATATCTATATTAGACAATGTGTCTCAAAACAGCTTCCTAGAAGCATAGAAAGTGCCTCTTCAATCATCAACTGCTGTAATGGGGGATCCACTAAAGAATCAGCTTGACCTTGCCCATGGGCCAACAGCACTGACATCACCCAGGAGCTTGACAGATACCCATCCTGATGGAGATGTCGATCTTTTTGGGACTGAGATTCTATATTTCTAACAAGCCCAGAGGTGATGCTGATGCTGATGGTCTGCAGACCACACTGTGAGTAGCAAGGTTCCGAGAGAAGCTGCCCACATCTTTATTCTTACTTTGTACTTCAGGAAGAGGACCATGTTTCATCAGCTTATATCACAGGGTCTAACACAGAGCCTGGCACACAGCACAGCCTCATTAAATACCTGTGCCTGAAAGAAAGGCTGAATGAACACATCTCTTTCAGAAAGTGTGGCTAACAGACATGCAAGCAGTGTGTCACCTTGCTCATGCGTTCTGATCCAGGCATGAGATGTGGCTGAGGATATTAGGCTCCTCTGGACCGTGAACACTTAGGAAGGTGAGCTCAGGCTTATGGTCCTAATTATACACAGTGATAAAACTCCACAGGAGAACATTCAATTGTGCTTTTTCTTTGTTTGGACAAGGAACATTATCTCTGCCTATAAATTCACATTACAATCTCACGTATGTAGTTAAATCTGAAAGTAACAATACAGAAGAAAATGTGTGAATATGCACCACTTATTTTAAATACTCATTCTGTAAATATTTCAAGAATGAACATGGTTTGAAAGTGATGGCCTATTAAAATAATAATTAACATGTACAAAAGAAGCACACTAAATTAGTAAAATACTTGATTTTTTCTGGGATCTCAGAGTTGGTCCAACATCTTCTCCCCTCACTGTAGGCTACATGAGGGGACAATGGAAAGAGGGGGGACTGCATTCTCCCTAAAAAGGAGCATGGTGGTTGTGGTGAGTAGAATAGTGTCCTCCAAATTCCTGTCCATATAGAACCCCAGACTGTAACTTTATTTGGAAATAGGGTCTTTGCAAATATAATTAGATAGGTTGAAGCCATACTAGATTACGTGGGCCCTAAAGCCAATGACTAGTGTTCTTAAAAGCAGCGAGGACACACAGACACAGAGGAGGAGGTGAAGAAGTGGGTGAAGAGGGAGGCAGAGACAGAGTGATGCCGCCATAAGCCAAGGAATGCCAGAAACCACCAGATGCTGGGAGAACCCTTCAGAGGGAGCAATGACACATCCAACATCTTGATTTTGGATTCTAGCCTTCAGAACTGAATGGAGAGAATAAATTTCTGTTGTATGAAGACACCAAGTTTGTGGTAATTTGTTACAGCAGCCCTAGGAAACTAAGTAGAAAGGCCAAGACAAAATTGAAAACACTGAAATAAACTCTCACCAGGTCACTTACCCGGCTTCTATTAATCATCTTCCAGTTTCAGTGCAGGAAGCACTACATGAATGGCTGTCACATCACAGCCTGCCCCTACGAAGACTGTGACCTCCAGCACCCCACTCACTGGTCAGTCATTATTTCCTTCCGTGCAGAGATTTTAAATATCAAATCTCTCCTTAATGAAGTATGGCATTGTGTCATGATTAAAAATGTTTCCTCCACCCCTAAGCTTAAAAAAATATTTACCATACTCTCTTTTAGTGCTTTTATGATTTTACCTTTTCATTAATGATGATAATGACGATGATGACAGCATAGCAACACTTAAATAACACTTGTGCCAGGCACTATACCAAGCCCTTTACATACATTATGTCATATAATCCTCACAACAACCCTGTGAGGCAAGTACTATTATCATCCCCATTTTATAAAATTAAAGAACAAAGTAGTTGCGGTAACTCGCCCAAGGTCATATAGCTCATGACTGGCAGATGTAGGCAAAAAGCCCAGGCTGTCTAACCCCAGAATCTATGCTCTTACCTACAACATCATCCTGCTTCTCAAGGCATTTCAATTTAAATATTTAATCCATTTGTGTTTATTTTGGTTTAAGGAGTGACGCAGAGCTTCCATTTTTGGTCCCAAATACTTGGCCAACTATTCCAATACATATTGAATATTCCAATTTTATCCCACAGATTTAAATGCCATCCTTATTATACACTAAATTCTCACACTTATTTGAGTCTGTTCCTGAATCCTTTTTTCTATCCCATTTAACATTTCATTCCTGTAGCAGATGTTAACTCTTTATATAACAAGGATATTCTTAGGTTTTTATCTTCCTCTTGGTTACAAATATTTTTGTCACATATTTTTTTAATGAAGTCATAAAAATTCCTTTAAGCTTTCTTTTTTTTTGTTTCAAAGTTTAGAAAATTTGGTAAGTATCCACTTCTATTCCTAATTTTTCTGAGATGAAACATATTTAGCATATATTTAGTCCATTTGAAATTCATTTGGTATATCATAAAATACTCTAAGTATATTTTTTTAATCCGGATTCTTAGAGGGATTTCATTGTCATCAGTATAAACAGCCCTGTACTCTGTCCCATAATGACTTCTGCATCCCTAACCTGCACCTCTAATTCATTTCAGTGATAGAGAACTGTTGTTTCGTTCTCTGTCCTAAGCCTATTTCTCACCTCCTTTATAGCCCAAGCTTGGAGGATGCAGCAAGCAGACAATAATGGCAGGGAACCACCACCAGCCCCTGAAGAGAGCTGACATTTTCTCACATGGAGAAGCAATTCTCATATCAATGCTGAAGAGTCTCCACTAAAAGAAGTGTAACTATCTCCAGCACAAACCTTGAAGTCCTTGGCCAAGTCTCACCAAAATCTTGGCCAAAAGCACAAGGTGTTGGCCTTTGAATCCTGGAGGCCTTCAAAGCAAGAAGGAATCGGTTGCCTTAGGTACAGTTACAAAAGCATCTAGAAGGGCTCGAGGCCAGGCACAGAGCCATTTCCCGATCCCCGGCTTGGCTAACCCCCTGCTCCACTTGGATTTCTCCAAAGAACTGGCTCTGTTTCCTGGTCTGATAACCCTGACCCCTGCTCCCCTACACCTTGGTTACCAGAGTGCAATAGGCAGTTAAACACTTTCTTTTTCACTTCTTCAAGGAAAAAAAAACCGTAGCGTGTGGAAAAGACACACACAAGCTTTAGGGTAAACAGACCAGACGCCAGACTCTGAGGCTCGGCTTTCCTACCTGTTAGCTGTGAGACATCGGCCTGATTGTTCCCCCTGCTGAGCCTCAGACACGGCGCCAGTTAAATGGAGACCATCCTATTCTACAGAGAGTATTTGTGTAAACATGTTCCTCTGTCCCCTTTTCTTTCAGGTAATGCTCAGCCACCACTTGTTTCAGGACTTCAGTTTGTTGGCAACCTGCCCCACCCACATCTACACTACCTCCCTCCTTCCCCAAAGAAAAAGCCACACAAAGAACATCTATATAGAAGACATAACATATGTATTTATATGACACTCAAGATTCTATTTATATGACATTCAAGAAAGAGCAAAGTTGAACTGTGGTGACAGAAATCAGAAACTGTGGTGGCTGAGGGGAGGGTGGGGGCTCAGTGACTGGAAGGGGCACGTGAGAGCTTCTGTGATGACAATGTTCCTATCTGTTTTGGGGAGTGGTTGCATAAGAGTATGTCCTCGTCAAAACACAGCAAATGTACACTTAAGATCTGTGCATTTTATTACATATAAATCTGACACCAATTTGAAAAAAAGACTCTGTTAGCTATAGTTCACATGCACATTAATATGATGGGGAAATGTGCTTTTTAACATAAATCTTCCCACAGACTTTAAGTCAACACAAGGAGAAAACGGGCCTGCCTAAGCGTGGTGCCGGCTATGGGACTGGTCAAGTAGTAGAACCTCCCTGGGTCACCTACTGCAAAATGAGGAATATTCAGTATCCTCCTCAAATACTGTATGTTCTAAAAGGTTACCCATGTAAGTTCTAGGACACAGTAAGCACTCAATATATGTTAATCCCCTTCCCTTCCATTTATAAACAGCAAATGGGGTATAATAATGCAATATTTCAATTCTTTTGCCCAAGTGCCAAGTTATCAAAGGAGGAAAAAGAGGATGGAAAGGAGAATGGGGGGGGGGGGGGGGGGGGGGGGGGGGGGGGGGGGGGGGGGGACAGAGTGAGAAAAAAAAAGGGAAAAAAGAACAAATCGACATTAGAATTACCCTGAGGAAAGAAGCATAAATAAATACAAGGACTACAAGGATATTCATGGCATTATTTACAATAGCAGAAAACTGAAAAACTGAACAGGAACTAGTTATGCAGTTACTTAAAAATTAGTTTTATGATAGATTGATAAAAATATGTATAATCGAGATATGAACTATTATAGAAAAGCATTTCTGAGCTATACTAATTTATGCATCAGTCAAAATTAAGACAGAGAAAAAAGTCATTACAAATAGTGGGGGGAAAAGAATAATTCGTAGCTAATTTACCCTATGTCTGTATTAAAATGAGTGTGAATTTACACACAAAAAAACTAAAACAACAATAATCACATCTATAAAGAAGTAGAAAAAGAATAGATAAAAAGAATTTTAAAGCAAATTAAAATAGAATGGGGTCAGGTAGTGTCAAACATAAGAATATCAGAGTTTTTTTTGAAAGACACCTGTTGCTGAACTTAGAGTCAAATTAAGTTAAATTATTTTAGCCAAGATAAAAATATTCCAGACAATCTATCAATCGTCACTGACTAGTTGTCATAAAGTTGATGACAGAAATATGCAATGAAGCTAAATATGACTGAGCCCATCACTAGCCATCAAAACTTTCCCTCAATGATGACTTACCCACTATGAAGTGATCCTGCCCATACCTGCAGAGGAGAAAACACTGCCACCAGCATCCTATGATACTTCTAAAAAGAGCTATTAACAGGGCCTGGTGTAAACTGAAAATTTTCCTGTTTATAATCAAGGAAACAATTTATATTCTTTAATCAAGTATTAATACCAAACACAAACCAATATAACAAAATATTAATATCCTACCTGAACATCTTTGTATTTGTCTCTTAAGTCCAAGAGCCGGTGATAAGCTTTAATGGCTTCTGAAAATTCCCCAACATCAACGCTAGTGAGAATGTAGTTTTCCCAGATCTGCCAGTGTTCATAGTTGCACTTGAGGGCTTCTTGCAAAGTTCTAAAAGCTTTCACTCTATTGAAGGTCCAAGTTGAAAGAAAACAATATGAATAACCACAGCTAAATAAACCATAGCTACTAGGTAAGTGTATAAAGTATGGATGTGGACTTTCTGTCAGTCCTTAATTATTCATGTAATAAATAGAATTAGAGGTCCAAACCACCTCAAATTTCCCTACAATTTTTTAAAATTTTAAAAGAAGCATGAAATTAAAAACAAACAAACAACAAAAAAAAAACAGGTAGAAATAAAACAAGCATTTTGAAAGAAGTGTGCCCATGTTATCAGTAATTTCCTGGCCTCAGAATTTTTGCAATGAAATTCTTTTTTGGTAAATATGGCTTCTTTAGAAGGAACTTCAATTCAGGATTCACTTATCAAAGCCACATGGTAGGAATACTGCAGGATGAAAGTTGTATAGGAAGACGGAAAGATTTCCCAAGGGACTGGAAGGGACATAATGTCGAGGGGAATCAGATGACACAGAGAAAAGAACTTTAATGAAGAACCTTGTGATGGCAAAGGGATAGACAAGATAGCTTGAAGAGTCACTGTACGGCATGGATAGGATTCTTTTGAGAGGAACAGTAATAATTTACCCCTGAGTCAAAAATTACTCTTGTCTGCAGTAGCAGCAAAGAAAGAAAAGAATAAAAAGCTAAGAATGAAGGAATGATTTACCTCTGAACTTAAAATCCCACTTTTACACCAAAACCTATTCATGGAGCTACATGCAGACACGAAAGCATCAAAAAGAAGTTGAGAAACAATGTGTAAAAACTCCTAAGAAATCCTCATGCAAAATTATCAGGGTTACTAGAAAAACCCACTGAGATCATTCTACAACTATGGCAGGGATTTCCCTCGACGCTCGCTTTCAATCAAAAGGGTCTCTAGTGAGTTTTAACACAATCAGTTGCAATCAAGAACATAATATTATTTTCTGAAGAGAACAGTAGAACAAACAATCCTTTATTTTTGTAGACTGTCATCCAAGAGCAGCGGAAGCATTTCATGATCTCAATGCAATGTGGACTTAATGATATCATTAGAAATATCTTGTGAATCCACAAAGAAAAATTAAATTAAGTTTGAAAATAAGGCCAAATGAAAATAGAAACATATCCATCCTTTAATCCATTCATTGCAGCTCAGGTAATAGCAATCCTGGTCTCTGTCCTTTCCTGGGCTCTCTGTGGCCAATCAACAAGCCCATCTGGTTGTCCCCTTTATAAACTGGCATCTGCCCCTTCTTTTTCCAGCCTAGTTATCTCCTGCCTGGATTGTTACAACAGCTGTCTCCTAACTGGTTTCCCAGCCCGCAGTTTCCTCTCTAGTCAGTCTCATACACTGCCACCAGATAAATCTTCCCAAAAAGCTCTTTCTTCATGAAATTACCCCACTGAAATCTTGGCATCCAATTTCCAACAGAATAGTCTTAACTTGTTAGTCAGATAATCAGAGCATAGTGCAACCTGACCCCAAATAACCTTTTCAACCTTATTCTGGAGTCCATAGCTGATTCTCTCTCCTCAGGCGTTGCTTTCACTCCTGTCACTCTGCATTGGATCCAATTCCCCTTGGCCGAATGGCTTTCCTCTGTGCCCTCTACTCATTCTTCAAAGTTTAGCTTGGTTCCAATACTCTCTCAGAAGCGTTTCTGAACTCGGGTTGTACACCTTCTCTCTTCTGAGATATCTGGCACAGAATACATGTTCTACAAATGCCACCCACTACATTATAATCCTCTTTGTATTTCTCAGTTAATATTTACCACATACTACCTACATTATTAATCAATTTTTAATAATATGGCATAATATTTTATTTTTTTACACCTACACTCCCTAAAGACATTGGTTCGTATTTCCATTTCTCAATCATGTCTAGTACACAGCAAGTAATCAATAAGAATCTATCAATTGAATTGACCAACTGAAGGCATGCTTGCTTTTCTCATGTAAGGAAGTTTAGGATGTAAAACTTCAGTAGCAAGTAAAGATTTCAAATAATATTTCTTATTTTATTACACATTAAATGTTTTCAAGAAATAAACTACATTTAGAAGTCAAATGCTATAAGGCACAATGCCTCAGTATTCAGTTGAAGAAAATCTCATTCATTTATTTGGAAGCAAAGTTCTTCATATTTGTCTGATGTACTTACTTTTGTTTTAATCGGATATACGAAGTTGATAAATTGTTCCAAGCTTCAGCATTCTGAAATGACAGAGAACCCAGTTATAGACTATTCTCATTCAGGTAAAATAATTGCTACAACCAAAAATATAACATATTTTCCTAGTCCAAGATGTGCTCTTTACAATCACAATTTTCACTAAGGTATATTTAAAGGTGTATGAGAAAAATGAAGTAAATTAAATGTAACTTTTATAATTTAGCATGAAAAGGTCACAAAAATAGTCAACAAATTGATATAACTATTAAAGTACTAATTTAGAATTTAGTTAAGATTTTATTTCTACATTTAGATTTACAAAATAGTGGGACAATTTACAATATAATTTATACCACATATAGATTTGCTGCAAACCCAAGGTATTCAGAATATTGTTTTTCCTATCTTAAAAGGCTCTGCTATTTTACCGTCATCCTTTATCAGATAGAAGAATAAGGGAGTGTGTGTTCCAGTATTATTCCTAAGCATTTCACCAAACACATTTCTCTACCTATTCCTCTATTCAATGACAAAAATAAATTAAAACTTTTATATAAATGTTGATTCTAACAAGAATGATATGAATGTTTGTTCCTCTTTGTTCTACATTTTATAAAACACAGAGTATGTAATTCTCAATTTCCATACATATGATTTAAAAATTACAGGGCAATGTGGACCTCTGCTTGCAGACATAGCAGTTAGTACCAGAGTGGACTTATCACCATAAAAAGCTACAAACTGGACAAAACTTTAGAAAACTGTTTTTAAGAAGTTGGACAACAGCCTGGTCACAGGACTGTGATCCCTGAGACAGGGTAAACAACTGAGGTATCTCAACAATCAACCTAGACTTCTAACCAGAGGCACTTCCAGAGAGGCAGAAACCAAACAAAGCAGAGCAAGTCTAGAAGAAGAGTGCAAAGTTCAGGGTTGAAAATTTGGCTGGAATGTGCAGGGCAAAATACCAGGAAAGAGAGATCTGCAGAGAAAATAAGCTCCAGAAATCTCAGTGAGCATCTCATTGAGTCCTTGGCTGAATACTAAGCTGTACATGTGCAGGGCAAAACTTCTTGAGGCCAGGCAGAGAACAACTCCAGAAAGCTGTGAGCTGGACGGAATTCTGGACGTCACACAGTGCTAGGAGTTATTCAAGTTCTAACTAACCAGGTGGAGAATGCTTAAGGCATTGAGCACCCATGGCATTAAGTACTGGCCCCAAAAGGTTGTATCTTAAGAGAAGGGTGATTGCAACTGCAGAATAAAGACAACTCCAGACCCATCCTAGCAAAGAGTAAAACTGAGCTGATCCACAAAAGTAAATTAACTAAATGCCAAAATAAAACTCTATCTTCCAATGGAAAACCCAGAAACTGAACAACACAGCATCCACAATAAAAAATTGGTAGACATACATGCAAATAAGCAGGAAAATTCATCAATAGCCAAAGGAAAAATCAGTTAATAGAAATAAACACAGAAATGAAGGAGATGTTGGAATAAGCACACAAGAACTTCAAAGTGGTTGTTATAAACATGATCAAAGATATGAAGAATCATGAACATAGTAAGGGAACATAATTAGAAAATCTCAGCAGAAACATGAAAACTGTAAAAATCAAATGAAAATTTTTGAACTAAAAAAATACATTATCTGAAATGATGTTTAATTTTTTAAGTTGATATATAATTGATATGTAACACTGTATTCGTTTTAGGTGTATAGCATAATGGTTTAATATATGTAAATATTATGCAATGATTACCACAATTTTAGTTAACATCCATCATGACACATAGTGTGGTAAGTTTAATGAATAAGTCTTAACAACAGATTGGACATAAATATAAGAGCTAAAACAATAAAATTCTTAGAAGGAAAGGATTTTTGGACTTTTTTTTTCATAGTGATGGGAACACAACATGATATCTACGTATCTACCCTGTTTGTAAAAATGTAAGTGCGCAATACAGCATGATTAATGTCACCCAGTGTTGTACAGCGGATCTCTTGCACTTATCTTGCATAACTGAAAGTATACACCGATAGGAATTACTGTTTTGAACGCCAGTACAGTTTGAAGAACTTAGAGAATACCCACTTAGAGCTGTAATAAGGAAAGAAGACTAAACAAACTTACATCGGGTTCTAGAGTCACACAACGCTGAAACGCCTTTGCTGACCCTCCGTAGTCTTCCAAGGCCAAATAGGCACAGCCGAGAGAAAACCACACCCCGAGCTGCAAGGCCAAAAGTCAGTCATTCAAACACACATTTATAGGCTGTAATGTGAACATTTAAGATACTATCAACAACTACTGGAAAGAACACAGAGCTATATAATAAATATTTGCCTTACATTTTATAAGGAACATAAATGTATGGAAATTTAGCAAATGGAGATGAATTTTCCAATATAATTTTCAAAGCTAATGACACTGAAAGCAGGTACAATATCACTGCACATCTTTCCCTGAGCAAGACCACTCTTTGTGTTAATCAAACTCCATGAATGCCAGCCCTGAAATTATGTTTGGGATTAATCTAACATTTTTACTGAGCATCAACTATATAAAAAGTATACAAAGGATCAGCAGATTCACAGCTGGTGAATGAATGTACTACAAACTTAAGGAGAAAAGTTTTTGCTTTCATCTTTAAGACCACAAGGAGTCACACTGCCTACTCTTACCAAGACTCACACTGTCCTAGCATGTATCTGCTTAGGCATGCCTGAAAATAATGTAGAAAAAGTAGGCTCAGAATCTCAGAATGGAAAGCCTGACTTAAGTCAATAAGATTTGCAAATACAGAGATTTAAAAAACAGGTAAATGAGGAAGTAGCTATTGAAATGACAAAAGAAATCTTTACTTCACAGGATTTCCTTAAAATTCAATAGCCTCTATCAAAGGAAAGATAAAATTGATAAGAATTCAATGAAGTTAGTCAGAAATGCAGCTATTACAGGGGGTTTGCTTTCCTTTCAGATATAGTCAGCACAGCCAGCAGAATGCAGTCCGCTTTCTCACTGACTTCCAGACCAAGGCAGTGAGCCTGAAGGTGGATTTGGTTGAACACTTCAGGGTGGGAGAGGAAATGAGGTGCTCAGTTATCTGTCCATAGCCTTCCACGGAGGCAGAGTAGGAGGCTACCCCCCATCTTTCCTCCCAGGGAATTCCCACAAAACTTGTTCCAAATGGCTAGTTGAGGCCTGAAAGTTCTTTAAGCAGATAAAGATTTTTAGCCAGTAATTAGAGGTAAGGCTTAGAAAGCAAACATCCTTGGGCAGTTTATAACACTTCGCCTTGAATTCCCAAAAGGCTATAAATAACTCCTATCAGGAATTGTATAGAGAATAGATGTTGTCAGAGGGATAGGTGACAGTTGAGAAAGGGATGGGTGTGTGTTTGGTAGGAGGGGGGAGGAGCAGAGGTAACAGGTTGAAACAAAGTTAGAAATTCACATTTCTGAATCAAGGGATTTCCAGCAACCTAAAAATTAACTCATTACATTTTGCTTTCGTCTGGTTATTTTTGGAATCAAATGAAAAGAGCTCCAAAGCACCAAACCACATTCACTGAATATGATACAATATGAGAGAGCCTAAAATCTGATGCTAACTTATAAAACAACTAGAAGCCCGTTGCACGAAGATTCACGCAATAGGCCTTCCTTCCCCTGGCTGCCGGCACTGGTTTTCCTCCAGCACCCAGGACCCAGGCCTTTGGTCTGACCTGTGGCCTCTTCAGTCTTTAGTCTTCGCTCCATGCCTGCATATGCAAATTAACCGCTATCTTTGTTGGGTTAATTTGAACAGTCGCTCTGATTGGCTGGTTGGTGTAGCGGAGTGACACCAATTTGCATGTTTCTCTTTTATTAGTGTGGATATACCAAACAAGATCTTCAACTTCTAACCAAGTTGAAAGGGTCAAAATATGTGTATTTATTCATCAGTTATAAGATATACTTTCCTTTCACTATTTAACACCTCTGAAATAGATGCATCTTTTTTTTAACCTTTTAAAAAATTATTTATTGACTTGAGAGAGAGGGAGGGAATACCAATTTGTTGTTCCACTTATTTATGCATTCATTGGTTGATTCCCATATGTGCATGGCATCTTAATAAGCAATAGCTTGTAAGAGTTTTATTGGCAGCATTAAAGTGGCACTTAAAATAAATGTGCCTCTTACAACTGATAGCATAGTCAATGAATTATGGTAGCGAGTTTATTTTGAATGAGGGATACCTCATTCTGGGACTAAATCAGAAACAATAAGAACTATCCTCCAAGTTCTCAAAATGGATGTAACCTTCTTGCTTTCTGCATCAGCAAAGAACAAACTTCCCACAAAACAATTTCACATGTGTTGTTATAAAAAACAGGAAATGCAAATTCAATATGTAAATAAAGAACTTGATTTTTCAACCCACCTGAAAAGACAAAGGTTACAAATGTCTAAAATTAGCAATTATCTTATAGCTTCTATCTTATAGCTGGTAATGAGGTTACTATTTAGCTTGAATTTTTTGAACTAAGTCAATGTTTTATAAATCAGGGTCTTAAAATGAAAATAAATTTTATGAAAATCAGGCAGATGACTTAATACATATTCAGGTTCTCTTTTTTCTCTTGGTCATTTGTGTTGTTGTTTTAGTTATTTGCATCAGAAGAAAAGTCCTAAAATCACCAACTGCTAGTAGATTTTCATATAGTACTAATAACATCTATAATAATAAAAGTGTAATATGCAAATTGACCGAATGGCCAAACAGCAGAACAACTGTCCGGATGACCTTCTGGACAAAGCCGGGGCAGGGCTTCGAAGGCCTACTCTTGCATGAATTTTGTGCATCGGGCCTCTAGTCCTATTTAATAATAGACAAACATGGTAATTAACCGTACCTCCGACACGCTTCCCATTGGCTAATCAGGGCGATATGCAAATTAACTGCCAACCAAGATGGCGGCCGGCAGCCAGGCAGCTGAAGCGAACAGGAGGCTTGCTTGCTCCAGTGAAGGAGGAAGCCAAGGTTCCCCGCCTGCCACTGCTGGGCTCTGAGCTTGCACTCTAAGCAACTATGCTGCCATTATAGAAGCTAAACAATCCCCATGCTTTCAGCCAGCCGGGTCTCAGAGCTGGAGTTGCAACAGAGTTTTGATTATAGAACCCAAACAAACCAGATACCTGCTTTCAGCAGCCGAGGCCTCAGAGCTGGAGCCAAGCCTCAGAGCTAAAGCCGGCTCTCAGTTCCAGTGACAGCCATAGAAGGTAAATAAATCCCAGAATAAAAAAGAAAAAGAAAAAAAGGAGAGGTTGGGACCCCACCCTGAAGGGTGTGTGACCAGCTGCAAACAGCCATCATCCCCTCATCCAGGCTGGCCAGGCACCCCAGTGGGGACCCCCACCCTGAAGGGTGTGTGACCAGCTGCAAACAGCCATCATCCCCTCATCCAGGCTGGCCAGGCACCCCAGTGGGGACCCCCACCCTGATCCAGGACACCCTTCAGGGCAAACCAGCCGGCCCCCAGGCCTCTATCCTATATAGTAAAAGGGTAATATGCCTCCCGGCACCGGGATCAGCAGAGCTGCGAGGCCTCCCGGCACTGGGATCAGTGGAGCTGCGAGGCCTCCTGGCCACCGGGATCGAGGAGCAGCGAGGCCTCCCAGCACCGGGATCAGCAGAGCCACGAGGCCTCCCGAACCCGGGATTAGCGGAGCCATGAGGCCTCCTGGCACCGGGATCAGCTGAGCCGTGAGGCCTCCTGGCACCGGGATCAGCGGAGCAGTGAGGCCTCCCAGCACTGGGATCAGCGGAGACGTGAGGCCTCCTGGCCCCTGGAGCAGCGTGACAGGGGGCAGCGCCCAAACCCCCTGATCGCCCTGCGGCTCTGTGTGTGACAGGGGGCGGGGCCACAACCTCCCTATCCACCCTGCTCTGTGCGTGACAGGGGGTGGCGCTGCAACCTCCCCATCGACCCTGCCTTGAGTGTGACAGGGAGCGGTGCCCCAACCCCCCAATCGGCCCTACCCTGAGCATGACTGGGGGTGGCATCGCAACCTCCCGATCCTCCCTGCTCTGTGCATGACAGGGGGCGGCGCCCCAACTCCCCAATCGGCCCTGCTCTGAGCCTGACCAGGGGCTGCACCTAGGGATTGGGCCTGCCCTCTGCCACCCGGGAGCGGGCCTAAGCCAGCAGGTCGTTATCTCCTGAGGGGTCCCAGATTGTGAGAGGGCACAAGTGGGGCTGAGGGGCACCCCTCCCGCCAGTGCACAAATTTTTGTGCACCGGGCCTCTAGTATAATTATAATGAGACTAGAGGCCCACTGCACGAAGATTCCTACAATAGGCCTTCTTTCCCCTGGCTGCCAGCACCAGTTTTCCTCTGGCACCCAGGACCCAGACCTTCACTCTGGCCACCGCCTTCCATCTTCGCTCTGGACACAGTCTTCGCTGCAGCTGGAGCCTTCAGTCTTTGCTCCTCGCTCCGGCCAGAGTCTTCAGTCTCCGGCCAGAGCTGCTCCTGTAGCTCCTTCCGCCCCCCACCCTCCCCCTCACAGCTTGATCACTGCTTCGCCTACAGACCTCGCCGACGGGCTCCTGGGTCCCGGGGGGCCTCCTTGCCTGTGGCCTGGCTTTCCGGCGACTCCTGGGGTCGCACATGGGGTCCTGGATGGTGGCTCCCAGTGTCCCGCCCTGCCTGCAGTATGCAAATTAGCCACCATCTTTGTTGGAGGTTAATTTGCATATCACGCTGGTCAGCCAATGGCGATGGTAGCGAAGGTAAGGTTAATTACCATGTTTGTCTATTATTAGATAGGATGACTTTTGCACACACCCTATTCTTTAAAATAATGAAATGGCTTTAAAATAAACAAACTCTAGGATCTTCTCACTGCTGTGGCTGAGCTGACCCACTAAAACACAAATAATGCATTCATACCTTGCTTTTCAATTGAGGGCCTCAGAATTTTGGGGACTAAGGAGACTATTTGGTGCCTCTTTTACTTTTTTTATTTTAAACTGTTACATAAACTATTATTACCACCCTGCCCCCACAGCCATGATTTATGGCAATACCATCCTTGCTAACGATGAAAGAGAGGAAGGCAGTGAACAGGTGCTGGAAAACTGAGAAGATCAATTTTTTAAGGACCAGGGCATATCAAACCCCCTCCCCCACGCCCTCTTGAGTAGGCGGGTAGACAAAGATGAAACAGAAGAACAGATGACC